GATAAAAAAATAAAAAGGTGAGTTTTGAACTGGAGCCTAGAGGTTTTGCTTTGGGTTGCTGACATGATCATATGTTTGGGAAAATTGAGCATTCCTTTGCCTGATGGACTGAGATAATTTCACCTTGCTATTACCCTAACTATTCTGTGATTCTATTTACCTTGACCATATGAATGAACTTTCAAGTATGCACTGGGCAGAATAATGCAAGTAAAAGAACAGGCTCCTGGGAATGCACTGTTGTACTTGCTCAGATGTTTATTTTTCCTAGGGTGCCTATTAATGGTGTGATTATATCTGTTGCTATTACTACATTTGTGCCATTATTTAAGGACACATATGAACACCAGAAGAGAGACATCACCAGCATAAGGTGTTGCCAGATTACTTCCTGAAAACAAGTGTCTTCATGTTCAAAAGTGCTTGTTAAATAAAAAAACAAAGACAAATTTATTTTTATTGGGATTTTTTTTTTCAATCTGGCCCTAGATGCTGATTTTAAAATTAAGCTGAGAGTTTCTGGAAAACCTTGACATTTTACGGTGCTGCCCAGTGATCAGGGATGAAAGGTTTGTTGCTGTATCCAAAATGGACTGTGCTGGTCCCTCAGTAAAGGTAACACTTGTCTGTGACATCCCGTGGGACCAGGCCTACATACGGTGCACTGATCTCACTGAAAAACAGACAACAGAGATCATCTAGAAGCTCGTTGGTGGATAGAGCTAAACACTGCAGGTCAAATGAATATCAGTTGCAAGTTGTGCAAAGACTGTGGTGGTCTTACGATGAACTGGGATGGAGGCACTCAAATGTTAGGTCAGTTCAGGTCACCCTGTGGTTTCGATGTCCGTTTTTCACTCAATATAGGGTAGGGAACTCTAAATATCTGAGGCAGAGGATGAAGTTAACAGATGACCTGGACATCCTGATAGATTCTGCGCTGAACGCATTGTGCCAGTACAAACAAATAAGATTATTTAAGGAAAAAAAAAAAGAAAAGATCTTTTTGTAGTAATCACAAGCATAGTAACATCCACCTAAGCAAAATCTGTTAAATCTTTTTGCATTTAAGCTCTTGTCTCTGATTTACATATGAAATACATTTGGTATCATCTGTCTAATGCAATTAAGCAGTTTTCATCACTGAGTCTCTTGACATGTAAATGAACACAGAAACATTTTTCTTCCCCAAGAACAGCAGCTGGCACTACTTTCAAGAGAAACACCTAAATGAATTAGAAACCTGAAACCCACTCACTAGTAAGATGTGTAACCCACCTCTGGTAAGGGTGGCAATGAATTCCTGCATCTTGAGATCTCTGGGCTTTGCTGTCGTAACCCATAGGAAGGCTGCTTATCAAACTGGTTTGAATTAGTGAGTGTACCCAGATAATAACTCTTTCAGTGTGTGTGTTGCACAGTTAACTGTATGTGTGAGCTTTCGGATTGCCTCATTTAGATCGGCATTTTGGGACAAGAACTTTATTTCTTGTGCCTGATACAGAATTGAGTACTTAAGGCATTTAACCAACAGTGATAACGTTGCAATGGGGATTGTTTGTGATTTGAATGTTCTTGGGTGACTGAGTATTTCCACCAATACTGCAGCAGATTTTTCTCTTTTATGTATCATGGGACTAATGTAGTAACAAAGCGTAACTCCAGCCTATGCAAGATGAAAAGAACAATAATAGTAATTATTACATATCCATGAGTATTTCTATGCTGCATTTATTTGAAGAAAGACTTCTCTTATAACTATTTTATATGTAGAATACTATGGTATCTCATGGAAGTCTTCCTCTGGCCAGGAGTCCTGGAAAGAAAAGTTAACGTTTGTATAAAATCAAATTGATAAAGGAGTTTTTGTTTGTAAGACAAGATTGTGTCGCAAAGGAGGTTGTGGGTCAGAGCATTAAACATTCTCCCTTGATCCCAGGGATCTGGCTTCAGTACATGCTTGGATCTGAAGTCTCTGTTGATAGGTGAGTGCAGCTGCCTGCAAGGAGTCTCAACTGTGGAGTTTTATGGCCCGCATCTGGCTCACAGCTCATACCTTAAACATCCTTTAGGGAGCTGATAGTCTCATTTCTGTTCTTAACACACAAGAACAAAATTAAAATCTGAAATGCAAACTTTTTCCCCAAACCACGTGAATGTCAAGGAAATAACCTCTTCTGCAAAAACATCGGGAAAACACATCCAGAAAAGCAGCTATCACAAATGAAAGTAAAGCAGCTATTATAGCATCACTAGCAAACTCCTTTTTAAACTGGCTAGCAAGTGTGGAAAAATTGAAAATATTCTTTGAAATGCCTTCCAAGAGCAAAGGGTAGGATATTGCGCTGGGCAGGATATTCTAGCAGGTGGGTCCCACTGCTTTCTGCTCATGTGTTTTCCGTAAAAAGTCAAACCAAAGAACTACTTTCCATGTTTCTGTTTCTAAAAGTGAACTTTCAAAAGAAAACTCTGCAGTGGCTCTTCCATCACAAGTGGTCTAATGGCAGTGATGGGGACACACAGAGTGCGGAGCAGAAACACTGATGGTGCCCTTGGGAACAGGGTCCCCCGCTTACCAGCAGGCCCTATGATATGCATGAAGGGCTGGAGCTTGGGGACTTCAGCCACCAGTTCCTGTCTGTAGGGAGGCTATTTTACAGCCATTTCACATCCCTCCTAAGGCTTGTGAGCAATACAAAGAGAGATGATTTTCCCTGCCCCAGGGTGAGCTATAGCACTTACTTCCTTGCACAGGAGATGCCACTGGAAGAAGAACAAGCAAAACTGAGTGTGGATAGAGATGTTTGTGTCAGAAGCTACTGCAGCCTCTCCCAAAACCAGTTCCCACTCCATGAACCCTGCCTTATCCAGCTGTCAGTTGACCATGTCTCTGGCATAAGTGGCAGGATTATGATTGCTTTGTTGCCACAGGCAAAAACCTGCTCTACCTGGAGCTAGAACCAGTTTTGGGGCTGCCAGGGGCCAACTGACTATAAATGCATTTGAGGAGAAAACTGCAGCCTCTATCCCTACCCATAGGTCAGGACAAGTTTGATCCAGCTGTTCCATCAACATGGAAGAACAATGACAGTTTCATTGCACAACAAATGAGCTGCTGCCCAGTGACTCAAAAACCCCAGGTCTTTGTTGCAGCACTTTATGCTGACTGTGTTTCTGTGTTTTATGGTGCATACATAGACTGCAGATCAAAGGCTATTTCTAGGTCATTTTACCTATAAGAGTATTGAGGTTTCCTGCTAAATCACTGAGGACAGTGAAAATTTGCAGTGTTTTCATTTAACTTGCACAGTCAGCACACAGTAAAATTAGAAGGTATGTCAACTTGGGTTTGAGTACCTCAAAGAAACTAAAATGCTTAAAACCCAAACAAAAGCCAACTTATAAATCTCTTGAAAAGTCCCAGAGACCTTCCAATCTGTCTGCTGACACCTCCTGCCCGTCTCTGACCCTCCTAAATCAAAGCATTTATCTAAAGTACAGAAGTTGACAGTTTGCATTTAGTAAGAATTGCTTGTCTTGTCAGCCTGCAGAATTCTTGTTCCCGCTGGCCATTTCCTTGATGATGTGTTACAGCAATGCAACAGCCAGCAGCTCTTACAGAAATAGATGTAAAAAGTGGCTTGATTAATTTTAAATATGCTCATTCTTGACGATGAAATTGGGTTGTATGAAAAAGAGGGGGTAGTTATAAGGAAACGGTGTGTGTTTCTACTAGCAGAAGTTCTGTTTCAGGGGAGTGATTACTGTTCCTGATAACACATCATGGTACAATAACCAAAAAGCCCACCACATTTTGCTTTCAGGTATTTTCAAGAGGGTTATGTTTAACAATAATTCTGACACAGTTTCAAATTCCTGGGCACAATTTTGCTCATCAATAAAGGTAAAGGTCTATTACACTGCAAGAATAGGGGGAAAAAAGCTTTGTGTAAACATGTGCTACTTTTGCATCTCTGAAGTTTTACAGACTTAGGCTTCAGTCCCATGCACCTCCACAGGGGTTTTTCTTTACCCACAGTGAAGCATTTGCCTACATTTTGTAGAATGTAGATTAGCATCAGGCTGTAGTTTTGAGAAACATATATTAGCTTGCATGTCATGCACCATGTCCTTTTAATAAGGTAAAGTTAGTATTTAGTGCTGAGTACTGTGCTAGCCATCACAAACCAGCATCCTGTTATGTTTTAACGATATTGAAATTAATTGGTTGTACTTAATTTTCCCCTTGTTTAGAAGAAAGGTCTTTTCTGATATACTGCAGAATACACATCAGATGGAGGCAGTTGTCATTAATACTAAACAATATTCATTTGTTTACAAGCATTTGCTCTTCCCTGGAATGGAAAGGAACTGTGCAGCCTTCCCGGTGATCACGGATGGCTGCATCATCTGAAGCAGCCTTTGAAATTTTAGGCAACTTCAGGGCTGTAGACCCTACTTGATAGTTTGGAGACGAAAGCCAAGTGTGTTGGGACCAGTTTAGGTATAAAGATCATCCAGGATATAAAGATCATCAGGCTGCTTGTAACAGCTTAAGATCACCAGGACAGTCCTGCTGCCTGTTTTTCCCCTGCTGAGCTGTTGTAGCATCTTCAGGGGTGGGAAGGGATAGGGGGGAGTGGGTGAGTGTGTCCAGGCCCAGTGATTAGGAAGGATGGGCAGGGTGGCTGAGGAGCAACAAACCCAGCTGAAGCCCCTCAGCCTCCCTCTCTTCTTAGCTACAGACCCACACTGATGCCTTTCTGGAAGGCTGAGGAGAGTGTAGGGAAGTGGGTATGTTGGAAGGGGGGGTGACATGGCTCGTGAAACATTAGCAAGGCGGTGTGGGTGGAAACATGGCACAGCAAGCCTGCGCAGACTAAAGTGATGACACCAGGTGGCTAAGGATATACAATATCTATAACGTACATCTTTTATACACACATACCGTTTGTGTATGGTCCTGGTGTGTGATTTCTGGGTTCACTTTTACCAACAGTATTCATTGACAGCTCTGGAAATGCCCACATGAACCTCAGTCTGTCAGAAGCAGCATTAAGGTGTGCTGACCTCTGTTTCTCAAGACTTCATGAGTATCTTCTGTCCAGCTCACAGGTGTTTTTTGACGTTATTTCCATCAAATGTAGATGGTAACGGACCTAATACTCTTTTATTGTCCTAGGCTGTCAGAATAGCTTTAAATATATGTACTGGGAACCTTGATCAGATATTTTTATTTAGAATAAATTCAATTCTAAATTTAGTCTTCTTGATTAGAAGCAGCATGTTTTCAGTGCATATTTTCTTTATTCTGTGGATGACACTCTCCAAATATTGCTTAAGAAACTACAAAAAGGCAAAATACAATATTTTAAATGTCTATCTTACTATTGTTATAAGGGCTGAAGTAATAAAGATGATTTTAAAACAATTGTTTCTGAAGTGGGGTTCAGGCCTGTAAAATGAGTTCAGATTAAGATGATGATGCTGGAGGTGCACGGAAAAGCTTTGAAGTAGGTATTTTACAGAAACATATGATTTAAAATTGAAATGAATACTGTATTGAAAATCTAAGTATGCAGACCATGACATAAGGCTTAGAAAAATGCACCTGAGGTTCTGTTGACAGGAGTGGAAGGCAGTTTACCTTGTGCTCCTCTCTCCAGGGGTGCTTGTGAGAGGCCCAGTTCATGAATCTCACTGTTGGACAGTGCTGAATCCTGTCCTATGTATGGTTGTAGTGAGAGGGATTATTTGGACAGCTTAAAAACTCGTGACCTTTTGTTTGCAAAAGGCATTTTTAAGTAGGGGCATTTTAGGCTGTACAAGTGATCTGTGCTTCAGTGTAGAAACGTATTTCTTTAGTTCATTTTTCTCTTAAAAAACCCCATTCCAAGACAGCAATCTCAACTTCTGGTCCTGGTTAAGAAGGCATCAGGCAAGGGAGTCAGGCTTTTACAGTCAAGTTTATGCAAACATGTGCACCCCCCACACCCAGGTTTGTTTTGTTATAAGGCAAGTGAGGGTCACCCAAAGCTATAGCAAGGGAAGTTGAGCCTTAGTCCTGGCACTGACTGCTGTACTCCATCTATTTATATTTAAAACAGAGTTGTGATTTAGGTGCCTGAGATGTTAGTTTATTAGCTGTAGTTGTGTAGTCAATGTAAGCTTGGGCTTTTGTGGTACTTGGTCTGCAATGTAGAGCAGACCAGTGGAGTGGTTTCCTTTGTGAGGAATCTGCCCTTGGACAGCAGCCTGAGTTGTGCAGATCCAGGTCAGAGCCCATCTGGGTTAGCAAGCGTCAGGCTTTAAAGTAATTAGAGAAGCCAAGTTGTGAGATACTGCATTTCATTTGGGAGTCCTAAACCCAGCATGGCCAGTGAAGCTGCAGGAGTCCAGGGCATGGTGTGAACCCCCTCCTTGGCCATACCCAGATCCCTTTCACAAAGGAGGGCTGTGATGTGGCTGAGAAGCCTGAAGCTACTCACTGCCCTCTCTGCTCGGCAGAGGTTTCCTGAGCATGGCTTCAGAACTGTTCTCTCGGGACTCAGTACACAAACCACACTGCGCAGCCTTACACCCTGGGCTCAGCCTCCAGAGGGGAAGTGTGGGGGTTTCCTCTGGTAACAGAGCTGTGTTAGCAGTCTCCATGCCAGGCTGCGGTGAGGAGGCAGTGTGTGAAAATGGCCAGTGCCAGCTGGCTCACATGCCCTCGGGACTGCTTCCTTTTTTATATATATAATTTATCACATGAAAAACTGTATTAGCATAGCTCAGAGTAGCCCTGAGCTCCCTGATTCATTTGAGTAACTTCTGGGAATCACAGACACCCTCAGGAGCGTCTAATGCAGGGAGGCAGCCACCAGCTCTCTTGTATCATCATTTCTACACTGTTTTTTCACTGGGAGATGCAGACAGCCATGCTTAATGAGGCAGTTCCCATTGCAAAAGCTACTCTGTCAGAAGACCAAATTTCTGCTTGCAGTTCACCCATGATGGCTCAACAGTCCACACACAGGGTGCAGGTTGGGCTGACTGTGGTTTTAGCTGTATCTCCAAATCTCCCTAATATGTTATTTTTACATATATGTGTGTGTAAATATGTATAATGTATGTATTATATACAATATCTATAACATATATATATACAATGTTTGGGTTTTTTTGCGTGTGTATATATTTAAAATGTTATTTCTACTGACAGTCTTACTGAAGAGTCAGTTATAGGCTTCCACAGTGTGTCATGACACAGAATACTGCTAACAAGGTGGTGGGCTGGCACTGATTTTGAGATTATTTTTTTAGTAATAGACACATTTTTGGTATTGACAGCATTAGGCTCTGCAGTGTCTACTAGGACCATGCTCTTCTGGTTACTTGCCTCATCATCAACCCTATCATTTCTCTTACACCTCTGCATTATGTTTTTATGCAGTACTCAACTCCAATTCAAAAGTTTTACAGGGCAGTGAACCTTCTATGTTTTCCACCTCTCTCTGTAACTCCAACTGCAGTGCACTTTATTTAATTCACTGAAACTGCTTCTCCGTTAATTGACCATTTATAATCCACTGGAACCATAACAATGACCTGTGCATTAAAATGAGAGTAATGGAGTATCCCCCGGACACAGAGCCAGCCCACCTTGAAAGCCTTGACATTACCACCATCCCACCGGATTAGAGGAGATGTGGTTTATATTAGTGACCTGAAGAAGGTTCATGCCCTCTGGGAGAAGGCTGTTCCCTGGAATGGCAGTGTGATTAATGGTTTATTTACAGCACTGACATCAAGGCTGTCAGGACTCTTCATCAGTCTTTGATGTAAAACACACTAAGAGGCCCTAGGTCATTCTTATCTGCTCAGAAAAATCAGAAATGAGGAGCTGTTCAGTGTGGCAACAATTCTGGTACTAGTATTTTCCATAATGGCAACAACAGAGGGAAATTACAAGGTCAGTTCTACTTCTCTGGCCTAACTGGTGAGATGCTATGACCACAGAGAGACTGGCAAGAGAGAGCTATTGACAGGTAATGTGGTGAGAACATACAGATGCCTACAACAAATCACAGGACCTTGTAAGGGGTGAGTGCTTCAGTTCTTCACCAATCACAAACCAGGATGGACTTTTCATGTCCTGGGTGGAGTTGAGCTTAGACAGATATCTTTAGTGATTACTGTGTAGTCTGAAGCACTGCTGTGTATAGACGCTTCCAACTTTTGATATTTAATACTTTAATACTACTTTAGAAAAGGTTTCCACTCCGAAACACTTCCTTTGTTTTCTTGCTGAGTTGGCTTAGCACAGTCTGATTTTCCTCAGCTCTGTGTGCTGGTAAATCCCACGCAGCCTGCTGCTCTCACGGGCAGCTGAGCAGTGAGATAATGTAGAGGCAGTGTCAGCCCTTTTCCTCAGCCCACTGGTGGGAATGGGCTTGCTGACACCCAGCACATTTGCAGGGGCAGTCACCTCCTTCTCTGCCTGGTCCAAATCCTGTGGTGCAGAACTCTTGCATGAGAGCATTTGAGTTGGGCACCTTACAGTTATTGTGCCTGTGGTGCTTCAGTTCTGCATTGCCTTCACAGGGGACTGGCTTAAACATGGCTGAGATGCCTGAGAAGTTCTCCTGGGCCCCGCTGAAATGATAACTGGATGAAAACCAGTTACTGAATCTGAGCCAGATAAGACTGAAAATAGTGCTGGGGTTGGGGGTGGGGAGAAAGCTATGTTGGAGTGCCTCAGCTTCCACAGAATTTCCCTCTGTTAAGAGGTCTGGCACTTGCACTATTGGCATGTTCCAACCTACTTGGCTTGGTGTGGGCTCCTTGCTATTTTGTGGTGCCTGAGCAACATGACCCCATGAGATAGCTCTTCTGCATGTGATAACCTGGCAGGCTGCTTGCTTTCTTACTGGGTTAAGATCTACACACAGCAATCTATGACTTACAGGAATATGCTTACGATATATGCCTCTGAGTCAAGCCATTGATCTGAACAGGGCCCTGGTTTGTTCAAAACCCTGTTAAAAAGGTTGCTTGGCAGAGCTGGCTTTCCAAAGCACATTTTGCTGGGCCCACTCTCTCCTTGGCTTCTTGTAGAGTACTGTATTGAAATTAGTGTATGTAGTGAGGACCACCCAAAACAAATGGTTTCCATTAGGACTAACGAGTCCTTAAGCACAAGAGCATAGCATGTATGTGCAATAAGACCCAGAGATTTCTCAACAGATATTACTTTTGGGAAGCCAAAAGCCCCAGGATGTAGTAGGAACAAACCACCCAAATAAAGCAATCAAGAAAAAAAATGCAGAAGCAAATTAAAGTTTGTGCACAACAAAACCAGAGCTAAACAAAGCTGCGCTTCTCTGTTCTAACTAATCCTCTAAAAGGTCTTCAGCCATTGCAGTAGATGGCTTCTAGCCCACATGTGAAGATCTTACTATTAGACAAATGATTGCAATTAGCATTCTAGCTGATTTTACTTCCTGAAAGCGCAAATTGCAAATGGTTCATGTAGTCATTATTTGACATTCCGTCTAAGTTTCTTAGGGGAATAATTCTCGGCTGTGGACCATTTGCAAGTATTTCATTCTCAGCATTTGACCTTTTTTGCTGTTTCTAACTTAAATAGATTTTTCTTTTTTTTTGTTTGGATGCCCCTTGATTAGTCAAAATCTTGTATGTCAAAGGTGATGTAAGAGCGTAAAACCTTAGGTGCCCAGCTCTGGTTAAGCAGGTAAATACTGGTGAGCAATACTCAGACACTTGCACTAGAATGCTAACAAGTATGCACACACATCAGTGCCAAAAAATCCAACCCTTTTGGTGCAGACATTTCACACAAACGCACAAAAGAAATCCCAAACTGTGTGAAAGTTTTGCAAGAAGATGCAACCTTGGTTTCTAGTTTTACCTAAAAGCTGTAGTATTTTCATGATGAGTATTTCTGTTCAATTAGTACAGTTTTCCTGTTTCTCTTCCCCTCCATTTCATGGAAGATTCGAGGTAATAGAATTTTATGTGGCTGGTGAGTCACAACCGACATCCATTATACTCAATGCACACTATACAATTTGGTATTTTCCAGCTCCCAGGGAAAGTTGCATCATTTTTTCATTTTCTAAAACTTTCCCAGGCCACTCCCTTTGTAAAGTCTGTTAAAGGGCTTCTAGCCATTTTGTGGTCAAGGCTCTGTCCCCTGTGCAGCGTGCTAGTCCCAGAATACCCTTTGGTAAATTCAGAACAAAGTTGGCCCTACCCTCAGAAGCCCCCACTCCCTTTCTTCTCTCCCTTTTCCATCTCCATATGGGAACTCAAAAGCCTAAATTATTAGATGTTGCAGAGTCTGTTGTCAGCGATGAATAGCTGCAGTATAGAAATCAGCAAGGGAAACCTGGATTGTCTGGCACCTATCTTGGGAAACACTCAGACTTGCAGCCTGGTCCTCTCCTACTGCTCTTGTCTCACTGTCACTGCCTAAACCTCATCCCTGGCCATGCACATCTCTTAGTTCCCTCCATGTCAGCCAGAGGCATCCCTCTGCTCCTTTGCTGCCTGCCAGCCTGCCTGCTGCTGGAGGGGACATCAGGAGCCAGAGCTACACAGGGCCTGTCGTCCATGGTGCTGCAGTCAAAATGTGCTGGGCGAGGAGCCAGTGTGGGTTAGAGAGCACTCAGGTACCAGCAAGGGAGCGCTGTCTTTGGGCACAGGGACGGACAATGTGGAGCTGCTCTGGGCTGTTGACAGTCAAATTCGTGCTAAAGAGCTCCACATTTTTGTTAGTCTTCTTCCTACCTGCAGTGACCCTGTGGAAAGCAGAGACTGTCCTCCCCTTACAGGAAGAGCACAGACTACTCCCAGGGAGAAGAGGTGATGTATTTACGTGTTTTAGGTGACCAGCAACACAAGGGTTAAAGTGCAGCTTTGCCACAAGCTCTGTTTTAGGTACAACTCAAATCAATAGCAGCTGAATCATATCTGCTTCCCAGATCCCTTCCTTGGGGGAAAAGCAGCACTGCCAGCATCCTGCATGACACACAGGAGGACCTACCAGTTTGCTGGTCCTGCTCACAGCCCTGCAGCCAGCTCCCCACCCACCCTGCCTACACAAGGAGGTGCAGAGATTTTATCCAGCAATCAGTGCAAGGCAGGAGCAAGGGACTGTAGGCCCTTTTACCCAGTGCCATATGTTAATGGGATGGGCCACAGCTTGTTTCTGAAGCCTAATTTCTGCAGCAGAAATTGCAGCTTGAGCGGGACACTTTGCCTGCACTCCCCCACAAGCAGCATGCCAAATTTCTATTCTGTCTACTGTATCCAGCATCTAATATTGATTCTTGAGTCTGACATAACCTGCATTGCATCGCACAGAGTTCTTGCTGCGGAATATATTGCAGGGTCTGACGGTCCTTACATTGTATGTAACAGTTCTTCAGGTGCCAGATCTTTCCAGTCTAACACACAGCAGATGTGCTTGCAGTCTTGGAGCTGTTTTGAGAAACAGCTACAGTCAATCTATTTTCAGATCTGGCTGGTTAACTAATGCGTCCTTGCTTAAGGGTGAATGTTTTCATAACTGCCCCCAGGAATATCTCATAATTTTTTCTGTCTATGAAGCATTCCATTAATGAAAATCTATCGCCAGATTAATGTTGATATGATCTGTTCTTTAGAAGTTTCTGTATCTGGCTGGAAAGTTAATGGTTAATGGTCAAGCCTTGACAAATGCACTGATTCATTTTTGCAAGAAGTTACTGCAACTTTTTAATTCTGTAGGCGTTCCAGTTATCAAATGCCTGTGGGTTTGGATGATGTGTCTGAAACACAGCTAAACTACAACCCAAGTGCCTATGTAACATTGGCAAACTGAAAAGCAAAGCTTTTCAGAGTACTCCGAAAGTACTCTGAAAGAGAGTACTCCAGGCACTATATCCTTAGGCTTCTCTTGAAAAGTGTAAGTGTGGAATGGGTATAACACTGCTTCATCACAGTTAAAGACAAAACTCCCATTGACTTAACTGGGAACAGCATCAAAGCCAAGCAATAACATCTGATGATGAAGCAAATGGGAACCTTCTTGCACAAGGAGAAACACGACATGACAGTGCAGTGCATTGCTGTGCATGAAGTTTTGTTTGACAAGAGCTGAGTGTGAGCTATCCAGTCTTGTTCCTTGCTCACAGAAAGAAGCAGAGTTGACACTGGAGTTTTTTACTATACTTTTGAGCTGTTTCTCTTCCTGTCAAAGCAGAAGCAAAAGTGTTAGCTAAACTAGTGTCTTTTTTTTACACACCAGGCTGCAGAAGTGGTTTCCTGCAAGGATGAGCTGTGCTGTATTCAGGATACAGGAATGAGGCTCTGGTATGAGATGATAATGTTTCTCCCTGTTGGCTTGCTGGGCCATTGTCCTTTCCAACCTAGTTAGTTTTATGATTCTATGTATGGGAAGCCCAAGTCCACAAAGACAGTCCCTAAAGACACTGCTCAACTACTCTCTCAACCTGGAAGTACTCAAGTGCCATAAGCCTCCCCTCTTCTCTGGGCTCTTCAAGCACTTAGGGCTCCTGTGTTTTCCCAGTAGTGCCTGGCTCACTGCTTCAGGGCTTTGGCTAGGCTCAGATCCATGACTAGATGCTTCTCTGCTGAAGCCCCCTGGGGTACCAGGCATGCTGAGGCTCTCAGCATGCATTGCTTGCCATGGGTACAACAGCCCCTTGTAAAGCAGGGGAGGATGCTTCTGTCTTCTAAAGGATGGTTAGAGATGGAGAAGTAAGTGGCCTGCCTCTTTCCATTCCTGTTCTTCCCTTGAGCTAGGATACATGGATCTAGCTGTCTCCTCAGTTTGAAGGCACTCAAACTTTGCTGGCCAAGAAGAGCCCTGCCCCAGCCTGTAAGCTGCTGTACTGGGAAACACTGCCCTACTCCCAGCTTGCTCTGCAGTATGTACCCACCTTGTCACACCAATGGCTGAGTACCAACGAGAGCGTGGTTCTGACCAGACCATGTGCATGGAAGGATGTTTGCAGTGATGTAGCTGGCATGTTCTGGACAGCATGGGGGCACAGCCTGATGAGAAATCAGCCTCATCCTGATCCTTGCTCAGGAGGCACAGGACTAGGAGTCACAAGCACCCGACAGCTGCCTTCAGGGTACTGCATTCACAGTCTTGCCCTCTGTCCTCTTACGCTTTTGTACTTGTCTATTTGTGTCACAGGATTTAGTTTCAAGTCAATTTTACTAGTGTAAATTCTGATATTACTCAAGGGAGCTGGGCTTTACTGGCAACGGGTGAAGTGTAAAGTACAGCTGAAGGAACAACATCTCAGCATAACACATTAGCAAGCACTGAGTCAGCACAGGCACAACACTGTAATCAAGAACATTGCCTGTTTACTTCAGCATGATTAATATCAATCATCTGCTCTTCGTTAAATGGTTAGATCCTTGATAATAGGAAATTTCCTGGAGTTATATTTGGAAATCCCATCTTTCTCAAGGATTTACCTGCTGGCTCTTCACCTCGTTTGGCAACAGCAGTGGTGCTGGCACTGGGCTGGCCAGCACCAAAGCGGATCCAGCTGGAGGTGCTGGATGCTCAGGAAATCCCAGAGACAAATCAGAGCTGAAAATTAATTGCTTTTTAATATAGCTCAAATCTACAGGCCATGTGTCAGATAAAATAATGCCTGAGATATTAACGTTGTTCCCAGCTATGCTAAACTTTAATCTGCATAAGGCTAAGAGGTTCCTTTTAGACCTTGGTCTTTGACATGGAAACAATTACTACTTGAATGTGGTCTCTTTTTCACTGTCATCCTGAATTTGCCTTGCCTCTTAGCAAACTAATGCATGTCGAAAAGATTAATGGATTAAACATGGCCAGGGATAAGCCTATTACACTAAAGCCCTTTAAAATCAATCCATAGCTTGTAAAGGAAGAGATCACCTGAAATACAAGCCTTGGGGAATATCTACAGGGTGCTGTGACCATCCCTATGCCATGGCTGTTGTTGTAGGCACAACCAGACTGAGCATGCCAGCTCTGAGTGCCTCAGACCATAGCCAAAGCTGGATACTGGGACTAGTGGAGCTTCTTGCTACCTCACTGCCACCCAAGCCCTACCCAGTATAGCCAGTTTTAGTATTGGGAAAGATGACTTTATTGAACTGTTTCCCTTGACTTCCCAGAGGTTTCTTTTGCAATTTTTGGTCTGAGCTCAGACCCCAAAGCAACTGGCCCAGCAGATCTTGCCAGTGGCATCTTCCACTCTGACTGCCCATGGAGCTTCACACTTCCCTGCAGCTCCACAATGTCTCTTTTAGCATTTTCTCAAGAGGTTTTGAAGAATGTTTCACAAACAACTGGCCTAACATGCTGAAAAAAATATCCATCTTGTTTATCCATGCTCCAAATTATTTACCACAACTGGTCTTCCAGTAGAGTTTACACAACGCTTGAACAGTTTATTCCATAACTTACAAGTTATCTTTAGGTATTCTTAAACATTCTGTAAAGTTTGCTTTAATGGATTATTATTTCATATATAAAAAGGTACATAGAGGGATGAGAAAGTGTGACCCTCAAAATCAGGGCCCTTGGTAAAGAGAAGGAATCTACTGTTTTGCTTCCAGAGCTGGTACTACCTTTCTGCTCCAAAACACACACTGTGCGTTAGAGCACGAGCACGTGGGGTTTGCATCCACTGGAAGTGTCACAAACTGGGGTCAATAGAGATCTGGTTCCTTTGAAGTCAACTTTGCATGTGTTTGAGCTTAAGCCAAACGGATTGCCACGCAGTAGGCAGACAAGCCTTATGAAGAGCCTTATGTCCTTCTCCACAGTTCATCAAATCAGCAGCAGTTAACCCAGTACATCAAGATTTTCTCAAGTCAATCCCTTAATTTAATCTCAAACCTGCAAGAGCTGACCATATCTAAGAATGCAAGTATCTAAGAGAGTTCATCTTACATGTGGGGAATATAATATTGGATCCAGCTGGAGGCAGCATGAGCAAACACCACACAGCTCCCAGAACACAGTGTTCAGCCCACTTCTAAATTACCTGGTTGTGTTGCACTTATCTGGCTTCAGCTGACTGCAAATTCTAGTCGTTGATCTGCTGTAACGTGAAGGCTTTATACTGACTCTAAGTCTTTTGATATTGGAAAAGGAGATGAACAGATTAGCTGCAAATAAGATACAGAACAAGATAAACTCTTTCAGGAAAATCACTTCCATGTCAAAGAAAAATTAAAAGCCCAACAAGCAGGCCAAGCAAAATGAAGTGAGAATCGCTGATCCTAGCATTAAAAAAGAAGCCTTTGGTAAAGTACAGAGGGTCTTGCAACCTTGAGTCAACCAATAGTTGACTAAAATGACAAGTGATTTTGACCATCTCTGATGAGCTGTTTTCATACGTAGGGAAGCTTGAGTTTTAGAGGTGCTTTCCCATCCTTTTCAGAAAAATTATCTCTTGAACGTATCAGGTGATAAAATTGTCACATTGACAAAAACGAAAGTTTTTGGTGTAGAATCTGTAACTATTTAAATAAATAATATTACAATTAATTTTTTTTTTAATAAAAACAACCTTACAACAAACCTTGCTCTTTTAGATAGTGTTTACTCTACACAGATTTGACTGACGTATTAGAATTTGATTGATGGTCCAGAAATGCTCACCATATGTCCCTTCTCTGTATTCCAGGAGACTGGATAAATATACAATGCTTTCTTGAAATGAAAGAAGATTTTATGTGAGTCATGTAAATAAAATATGGTACTTTGTGAATAAAAGAGATTTTATCCCCGTAGATATTCTCATCTTTAAAAGCACGATATCTTTCCATTTAAGTAGAGACATATAGGACAATTTGTTCAATTTCAGCCACATTTGTCTTTAGATTCTTATGAAAAAATGGCTTTTTCCTTGCCTGAGAATGTTTTTGTCTTCCTTTTTCTTACTTTAGTTCAGAATGAGCTTCATGATGTAAATTGTATTAACAATTTGAAGTCACTGTAAAGAACAACAACAAAAGTGTTTTGTCTTACTGCAGTAGCAGTGTGAGAGTTTAGATACTGTCAGGAGTACACAGGGACTCTGAAGGGTGTAAGGTCATTAGTTAGGTTTTTTTAAATCCATTCTCTCTTCATTTCAAATGACCACTGGAATGTCATGAGCATTTGTAAATCACTGCTTTTGCCTTCAAGGTATGTTGAATCTTTGTTGTGGAGAATGACCATAATGCTTTAAAATCTAACTGACCATCAACATTTCCAGATGTGCAAAGAGGACTTGATTTCTTTCTCAAAGCTGCTTTTCAACACGCAGCCAAGCCAGCAATGCAGTTCAGAACATATGGAAAAGGCACCAAGCGTCTGACCTTCTGCTGGAAGAGATCTTTACTTGAGATTTGTCCAGTGTGTATCTTACATAGAAACTAGTGCTAAGTATACAAAGCAAAACCACATTTTTGGCTTTAGTGAAACAAATTGCAGCCCCTGACACTCCAAAAGAATGCAGGCTACAGAAAAAGGAAGAAAAAAGATTTAACACATCCAAAGTAAAAGAAATCCAACATGCTTAAATCCAAACCCTCCCAAATACCGTATTTAAGTGAAAATATCATGGGAATAATTTCCTTTGATAGACATAGTATTTCTGCCCAAAAGATCCCGTGCACCTCTCTTTCTGCATGTACTCTACATCTGCAGTAATATTGATTTTCATGATTTTTAGTTATTGTTGATTCTTTAATAGAAAACTGAAGTGAATAATACTATTTATTTTTGAGAAGAGAAATTGCTCATACGAATTAAATAATTCATGTAAATTGGTGCAGATTATATGCGTGTATTCTATTACACATGTAATACAACTGCTAATATCATACTTCCTTCTTCAAAAAAAGAGTCTTTTGTTCTTTGTCTCTTTTCTTCTCTCTCTATAAGAAAGCAATGTACCTTTAATGGAGGAAAATTCCCAAAGTAACAAGCAAACACAAACCTAAAGCTTGATTTAATGTTGTAATGCTATGGCAGTAAATGAGGATTCAGGAAATGTCCTATTCCAAATGTATAGCTAATAACAGATACTTAAGGCACTGTTATAAAATATAAACTATTCACCAATTCTTTGCTGGGCTGTACTCCAGGGAAACTGTATTCTGCGCTGCAGAATTCTAGGGCTGACAGAAACGTAAATAGTATAGATGTCTATATTGGAAGAAGATTTTGCTTTTCCACATTGAAACTATCTCAGAGAATTCATAAATTTAAGAGTGGATAATACTTTCTGTTGCCAGACCCCAGGTATGTTAAATGTATCCTTTCAGAAGAGCATTTTAGCCACTTTTGTTATGAAGCAGCAACAGCAGAGTTGGCAACTGTATAAATTAAAACTTATGAACCAGACAGGATACTTAGCTAGTAAAGATGCTTTCACGTTTTCCTTCCAAATACAATGCCTGTATCAGTCCAAATATTGTTTGTTTCTCTAGTGTGTGACATGCTGTTTTGCTTAATTTTGTGGCATAATTTGAGTTCCGAACTCAGGAAGTACAAGGTGGTTACACGGCTATTTGCATTTATCACTCTTGCTGCCAGTAAAGCAGTGAATCCTGCCATAGGCTCAGCCTTTTAGAGATGCTTGGAGCAAGTATGTTTCAAACTAGAAGAAGCTATTTTTACACTGGGAAAAAAAAGTTGTATAAGGAACATTTTATGTTAGTTTTAACTGGATCAGTTTACAGGACTAGCACTTGACAATATCATACATTTCTTCTTGTTGATAAATCCCCCAGTTGGCATTGGACCCTATTGAAATATATTTTGTCTTTCTAGCATGGATGTTACGCTTACACATTTTTCTCTCATTTTGTCAAGTTTGTCACATGATGTATGAAGAAGTGAAATCATTCAAACACAGCAATTGAAAGACAGCTCATCTAAAATACTAACTGCATTTCCATGTTAATGGTTGAGCCATTCCAAATTCTGGCACATCTTGTAAAACCCTCTCAGATATTTTCATTCTTTGACCAATATACAGAGAAACCTCTCTGCAGAAGCTCTGCCTTTATCTTCAGGATGCTAGCTCAGGCAGGAGTTGATGTCCTTGTTTGTCTTGTCTGGGTTCATTACAGTTTGTCCTCAAAGAAAGGTTCCTTGTACAAGGCATGGCACACAATTGATAATAGCTGTATCCTGAGGGTGCTTGGTGAGGGGTGACACAGGCGAATGCAGCTGTAGCCACAGGGTATGTGGGAGAAGCACTCATGCACAAAACCCAGATAAAGTGAGAAAGGGGACAGAAAAAAATCAAGGGGGACTTCAGCTGACAGGACCAGCAAAACAGCAATGAGTTAGAATGGATTAAAAAAGACCAAGAGTGAGAGGCAGAAAGTCTGGGTGGTTGTACAGGCTGCTGATCCCATTCACAGCTATAACAAATACGATTTGTTCCAGGTAGCCTTTAACTCACAATAAAAAGTTACAAAATATTTTAGGAAAAGGTCTTGCCCAGGGGTGTTTGCAGATGATTCTCTGGAGGGTGGCAGGATATAATGCCAGCTCTTCATACAGATACGTCTCATGCTGCAAAAATCTGTCTGAAATTAATCCTTTCATCACACTTTGTTGGCAACTTAGATGACTTCTTTTTACACTTCAGAAATGAAGAGGATGTAAAAGTAGTCATATGCCATGGAAATCATTAGGGACTGCTTATGTGTGTCCAAGAGAAAATATATGGCCTCTGGAACCATTTTATATCTGCTGAAGTCATTATCTTGGTGGAGAGAGAGTGCTTGGAGATGAAGGGGTTCAGGTCCTTGGCCACAAAGCCCAATGTCAGCCAGTGAGCAGCCTCAACTGGCTTCAAAGAGCTTTCTAGCTAGTTCTTTCTGCTTAAAAATGTTATGACTCTGGCATGGAATCTCTTTGATACCACTATATGTGGGCATTGGTGTGTTCCTTGTCAATATGTTCAGTAATTCAGCTACTTGCTTTCTAGTGCAACAGCCCCATGTTGGAAGGAATCCCGTAACAGGAAAAAGAGCATGCTTTTACACAGAAACAATCTGATATGTGAATGAGAATGCCCATCAGCCTTGGCAAGGCACACTATTATTGAAAGCTATTCTCTTTCCCCTTACCACAGGGTAGTTTGGTAGTTTGTCCCTAGCAGTAAGAGGATAACTGAGGACTGAAAGGGTTAGAAGTGATTTGGTTTGAACCCAACAGTCCATGGGGATTTTTACTATCTGTGCCATTGGTTGTACCATAGTACAAAACACATCTTGTTTTGCCTTGATCTATCTTGACAGCCAGTTTATACCTTAAGACTTTCATGGGACTGAAACATGGATAGGAGTCCCAGGTAAACGAAATGGGGATTTGGCATCCCAAGTCAGAGGTCCTTTCCTTTTTCTTTCTTATGACTCTGGGTTGAATGAGAAGGTGCTGTGGGTCAGGCCAGTGCAGGGAGGAGAAATCAGTCATTGCTGTTTCCTCACACTCAGCTTTGATCAGATGTTATTCTTTTAGTAAACAAAATCCTTACTACTCCAACACTCATCAGTTGCTAGTTTAATTTGTATTTTGACTTAAAGGTTTCAAAATGCCATTTATCTTATATATGCCCCTGGTCTTGATTTTCTGAATGTGCTAAGCAATTTCCCCCAGTCATACCTCAAATATCCCACAGCATTTTCCTCCCTTGGCCTGGGGTCAAGTGTCTTGGTGGAACAGCTGGTGTGGGCTCCTGCTCTGAGCTTTGCCTTCAGCTGTGCCCCTGGGATGACAGATAACCATAATCTCTGCCATGGCATCCACATCTGGAGATTAAAAGAATGGAAACTGCCTCCTCTTGTAAAGCATTTTGAGTTCCTTGATACTTCTCTGCAAAAGAATGGCCTCCAAGCTCTGATTTCCGCTCCACAAAAGCACATGTCAAATAAGACTGTTTGCAAAATTTGTCCCATTTTTACAGCAGCAAAACTTACTGTAACTGTGCTTGCTAGGGGGTTGTCACAGGAGAGTCTCTGCCCTTTAATTCAGTGCTGAGTCCATTACAAAGACTGCACATTCCTTCTGATTACTCTTGTTGCTTCACACTCGCTCATTTTTTTTAGTTTTGGAGAAGCTGAAACAAAGTCAGCGAGTGCCTGCCTGAAAGTGAGATTATGGATTGCTGGGGTGAAACCTAAGCAAGCAGGGAGAGAGGAGGACCGTGCATTGACCTGAGTACAAACCAGTTGGTTCCCATGGGAAAGAGTAGTGACATTTGCTGAAGTGAGTTTTGAGAATGGGTTCAGGAGGCGTGTTTAAATAGCCAGTTACACCTCACCTTTTCCAACTCTCATCCCCATCTCGCAGAACTCCTAGGGGTTTGCAGCGGGTGCAATTCTATCACAGCGGAGTTGGACTGTACATTAATTTCTTCGCCTGCAAAGACACAAAGATATTCCTTGGTGTTCTGCTGACTGCTCTCACTGGTGCTGTGGAAGCCAACACTACTGAAGAACTTTGTTTGATAAAAAAAGCTGATTTTAATGTTTAATAATAGTTACAAATAATTTCATAGAGCATGGAGTAGATGCTTTCTATTAGGAGTATAAATTAATCTTTCTGTAATTCATATCTAGGAACATAAACATTAACTTAGAAGCTTAACTTTCATGACCAGTGTTTGAAAATAATGCTCCTGTATTTTCATGCATGGTGATCTCTGGAACATTTCAAAAACACATGCTTTACATCCCCAAAATGTCAATGTGCACTTTCTGCGCAATCAGAAGATACGTTATCCATCATTAAAACAGGGTTTTGAAGAGTTGCTTAGAAAGAAAGGCCATTATGTTTCTGTGGCATGTGACTTTTAAAGAGGTCATAATGTAGTTAGTGGCAAGTGTGGTACAAGTTCTACCTCAACTCATTATTCAAAAGGGCAGGAAATTCACAGATAACACACAATATGTATTTGGTAAAGCACAAGTTTCTGCCATCGCTTTAAACCTTTATGTAGCATGTACTTCACTCCCTGAATCTTAGGTTTTCAGACTACAAAGGAGCTTTCTAAATAAAAGGTCCAAAAAGATTGTTTTCAAATCCGAGGCACGCTTTGGTTCAGCACTCCCTCTGGCCACCACATAGGAGTGATACAGATCTATGCAGGTTTGTCTTCCACTGAAGTCAAGAACGCCACGGATTTTTTCCTTAACAAAAATACACTGAATCATATGTTTTACTTAAAAGGTTTCTTTGTGGATGCCAGAACTGTTTCAGAAAAGGTATTTTGGTGCTGCCACATTGAGATCTAAGAGTTCCAGGTTAGCACATTTTTCACGTCAGGAGAATGACATGAAACTCTTTAACTTGCGATAGGAAAAATGTCACTGTTATGTACTTCAATGACATGAACTTCTAGGTGCTGCTGTTATTAGGGAAACTGAGGCAGTAAAGCATGCCAAAAAAGCAGCAGTATCAGCAATGTCCTGTTAGTTTTCTCCCCAGTTCTTTTCTGCTCTAACTGTGGCAGCGCAGCAGGGTGGAGGGGACTTAGCAATCATTTAAAAGGACTGGTTAAATTTTAAAAGACCAATTTTATTGCACAATAAAGGAAATCTTCATTTATCTGCAGGATTCCACATTTTTTTTTATTCCATCGGTGCGTGTCTTTTATATTCCTCACTCTCCCAAAGGTCCATCACGACTCAGGAAAGGATTTTGTTGCAACAAACTTCTCGCCATTTTTTATATTTGGGGTCATATTTTCTAAGGCACCTCAGAGTAAATCCATGAAGAACAGGGGCTCTGCTGTGCCCCTCATTAC